GGTCTCAGTCATACTGTTCATTTTTTGTATTCGGCTGTCCGAGTACCTTTCATTTCGTCTCGAATCGCCACTTGTGTAAACAACGTGAATTCCTTGCACCCGTAAAACGTGTGCAATCTTCGTCAAATAGTTACGCAAAGGATATGCCCCAATCCGTCCGTGTCGATTTCCTTTGATGTATGGCATCTGCTAGGTGTGGTATTTCTGACTTGATAGACTATCGTGCTCTTTGCGGTAGATCACACCTTTGTTATTATCCTAACTCGCATGTATGGCTCCGAGAAACTGAGGCCCGCATCTGCTGCCACATTTCAGGAANNNNTTTCAGGAAACTGCTCGACGTAGGGGGGGGGGTAAACTAGGCTGAGGGTAGCCGAGGCAAGGTGGCGTACGGTATGCGAAGGCAACTACTGCTTAGTGCGTGGATGAGATCTACAACCTCATCCACCGATCACAGAAAAGCTTTCCAATTCACATGTCTGCGGGGAGTTTTGGATCGCATTAAAAGCTGTCGACTGACGAATGAGCTCCTAGGTTGGTCATGCGGCACATACTGTCACCTTTAAATCTGTACTTGGTCGTGCAAAGGCTGACGCAACACTCGAAGAAACCGGGCGATACTGGAATATCCTTTGTACGAACTTGCTGATTTTCATGAATTCTCTTCATCGTCTCCGCGGAGAAGGTCGATGAGCGTAAGAAAACCGACAGGTTTTGCTGCGAACAATCCTTTTTTATTTAATGTTTACTGGCACAGAGGGGAACTGGCCACTCAGAAATGCAAAGTGCAACTCTGTCGGTTACCTCAACGGTCTTACTCCGATTGCAAATACTGATTGACGTCGTTCTTTTTCAAGTAGCTGTTCATTCACGTGACACTGCGCATACTGATGGGGCGAGGTAACTCAGCGATGTCTTTTGGAGTGTCATTTTGTTGATATTGCATTTGCGGGAAGCAGAAATTGTTGAATGTGACAAATAAGTTTTAAAAATTCGGATGACCCGCTATAGGGGTATTTCAAAAGGTGGAGGTTGATGTAGTAATTCAGGGTTCTTTTGTATTCTTTTATTGAATCTTCAGTGATACAAATTTCAGGAAGAGGAAGCGGCCAATCAAAGGGCTGCCATACAACACACTGGGGAAGGCGGTGGTGGTGGAATTCGAACACGTTTTCCAGGGTGATAATTTGGTGAAGTTACCATCGGGCCACTATCGCCCGAGTGATTGAAAGAGCACGACACCGTAGATAAAATACAGACTAATGGCGCCACCGAAACATCACTGTGGTTGACAGTAGGTGGCTTAAGTGTTGTCGCAATCCTGCTCGTTCAGAGTGAGCTTTCTCACCTTGGCAGGTAACAGAATGTGGATACACATTTCCGGAACATGTATATGTGCGTAAAACAGCAACAGTCAAACCTAAAAGGAGTCAATTTTTGTTTTCGTCTTTGGTTCCGTTCATCCACCCGTCTCTAACTCTAATTTCTGAGCTGTCATTTTTTCTTTCCTCCGTCTCCCCTTTCCCCGTCCTTCTGACATCAAACCAGGTGTTCATCTGTATTACGTAGTCGGTGAGGTCTATGCCGAATGTTTGTCGGACAGCAGCATCTTTGTACAGTCTCGTAATTGCAATTATCACCACAATTTTCATCCCACTACGGTATGCAAAATTCCACCCGGTTGTTCGTTGAAGATTTTCTCCAATCAAGAGTTTGCACATCTGCTCAGTCGAACGGTGCACCACGGGTTTGAAGCTGTGTACGAGCTCACTAAAATGTGCACCATCCGAATGAGTTTTGTTAAAGGCTGGGGAGCGGAATATCATCGCCAGGATGTCACCTCTACTCCGTGTTGGGTCGAAATTCATTTGAACGGGCCACTTCAATGGTTGGATCGTGTGCTTACTCAGATGGGCACACCTCGCAATCCCATTTCCTCGGTTTCGTGACAAGAATTGTATCTTACTGTTTCCTTTTTCAAACCCACCACTTTGTCCATCCAACCGTTGGCCTACTCAATTAGTTCTCTTATTTCCATTCGCTTATTTCAGCCCCATTTTGCTCGAGAAATTTCTGTTGAATCTCATTTCACGCCGATCCTCGAACACTGATCGGAGTTTTTGTGCAGCACTTTATGTTCGCTAACTGAATGCTGTTTACCACAATTTTATACCATCTTTCATTCGTCAATCCTACCCAACCCTATCATCCGGTTCCGAGTAATACCTTCATCATACTCTATTAGTCAAAAGTTTCGTTGGTTATTACTTGTCTATTCACATATCTGCCCCTCCCCCCTTGACCTTTGTGACGTACTGGTATGCCGTACAAGCTATTCATTCTTTTTGATTTTTGACGTTCCTACTCATCTTAATGTTACTGGAGTAATTCATCTACAGTCTTCTCATTTCACATTTCCATCGGATCATTCGTACGGACTATTCCACAACCACATACCCCACTGCGGAATGAATCTGTTCTGCAAGCGCTCTGAGCAGTCTTCTCGGGATGTTCGTTGCCCATGACTGGGTCGACATGCATTG